CCCCCTGCCCCTCCCTCTCCAGTCCAAAGAGCAGTCAGGGTTCCCTCACCTGTGGAAAGTCCAAGGTCCTTCCCCCTCCATGTAGGTCTAGGAAGGTGAGCATCCAAACAGACTAAGCTCCCACAAAGCCAGTACATGCAGTAGAATTAAAACCCAGTGCCATTGTTCTTGGCTTCTCAGTCAGCCTCTACTGTCAGCCACGTTCAAAGAGTCCAGTTTGATCACATGCTCCATCAGTCCCAGTCCAGCTGGTCTTGGTGAGCACCCATTAGATCAGCCTTGCCGTCTCAGTGGGTGGGCGCACCCCTCGCATCCTGACTTCCTTGCTCATGTTCTCCCTCCTTCTGCTCCTCATTTTATGTGCCCCCTTCCTGCTGCACCTTGGACATGGACCTTACATTTTTTCCCACATCACCTCCCAGTGGATCTTCAGAATATATTTACACACTTCTCCTCGTGCCTCTGTGTCAGGGAGACTGCAGTTGGTCACCTGCGTGGCCCTGGGTGGCTCTGTGTGTGCAGAAAAGTGGTCTCTGTGGGGACTGGAGAAGCTATTGGATTTATTCTTCTTGATGGGAAATAGTTTCCGCAACCACAATTGGGAAGTCCCAACAACCTAGTAGAGCAACCCCTTTCTGGTGCGGACAAGCACATCTAGAAGGCAGTCAGGAGGTGCTCCCTGGAGACTCTGTCCAGACTGTCCTACCTCAGAAGAGCCCTGGCCTCATGGGAAAGTCACAGTCAGTCCCAAGTGGTCACTTGTACAGGGCGAGGGTCCTCATGCTCTTAGGAGCCCTGCTGCCAAAAGAGGAGATGAAGAGCTGTAGCCCAGAGGGGCAGCAACTTGGACACACCCACACAGGGCGGACACACCCACACAGCGCGGACACACCCACACAGCACTCACAGAACAGCACAGACAGGAGGGGCTTCCTGGCTCCTTTCTAGGTACTGAACCAGGATGTTGTGTGAAATCCTTACAGTAATGTAGTCCACTATGCACACAATTACTACAGTGGGGCATCTGGCATGTGCAGGCTGTCCCAGAGATCCGTAATACCTTTGGATAAAGACAGGGCAATTGCCAAAGCATAACCTAGGCATGAGTTGCAGGCTGCATTACCACTAACCTGCACCAACTGCACTGAGAACCATAAATGCATCATGCATCCCCTGCTATCCTGTGACAACCGGTCCCCTCATTCCCACATCAGTAGCACTTACATTCAGAGAGTATGTACAAATTCTGACACAATCATGACTCTTACACAGAGTGGGCAGAAAATTAATACCAGCTGGTCAAACGTGGGAACTTAGGGCCTGCAAGGGTCCATCCACAATCGGATTCAAGATTCCCATTTGTGCTTTTGTCTGTGGTTCTCATAGATTCTCAAGTCTGTAAGGTTGGAGCTTTGGTAGTATGGTTGTTTCCTATGCCTTGGACATGAATGCTGCCATGTGGAGACCCAGAAGTTGTACTAACCAAAAGCTAAAATTCTCAGAAGACCATGCCTTTACACATTCTGTTGAGGAGGGAGGGGAGGCCCACGAAGCTCCCCTTCTCTGAGGTCATATAAATGACGAACAGCTGCTGATGTTCCGAGTGGGGCATCTCAGGTGGTGTAATTACCCGCGTGATACCCAGAAAAACCTCCTGTAGCTGCCTGTGCACCCTCCTCGCTCCCATAATAACCCCAGGAAACTCCTGCATCACCACTCTGGCCTGGTGAAGCCTTTCTTCGGTCTGCCATGGGTGGCTCACTACTGCGGGCAATTCTTAAACAAACTACCGTCTATTTCTACTTCTAAGGATTCAGTTTCTCAACCACTAGATCCTGTTTCTGCCTCTACTGCCAAAAATGGGGAGGTCTGTATCTTTCTCTGTGTCTAAAGTCTTGTGGAAGGATTCTGATTGGCCTGCCCAGAGCACATGACTTCCTGGAGGTTCACCACCAGGACCCAGTCTTCAGATTACTACGTCTTCAGTCCTGTGGATGTATCCTCCCAGGAGTAATCAGTGTCACCATGACTTCATGGGTAAGCATTTCCCAGGCTATCAGGCAGAACTGTGAAGTGGTGGTTCTCTACCTGACTGCATGAGTGTCTAGGATGGGTGGCACACACTTGTGCATTTGAGGGGAATTTCCAGAAAGGGTTGGCATGTGAGACAGTGACTGGAGTAGACCCATCCTGATTGTAAATGGTACCATCCAAAGCGCTGGGAGCTCAGGGAGGAGACTAGGGGAGCAGGAAATCCTGGGTGTGCAAGCCCTTTCTATGAGGAATTCACCCATTGTTATAGCCATCTTCCAAGTACACTACGCTAACCACTTCTGCCTTCAATGTGAACTCTGTGCTAGGGAGATTCTAGGTCACCAGCAGCAGACTGAAACTGCATAGGCATCCAGATTCCAGACTTGGCCTGCGTGTTGCCAATGGGGAATACACCAGCCCTTAGGTTAACCAGTCCAGTAAATCTTCCAGGGCCAGGGGGATGGCTCAGGTAAAGGTGTTCGCCACCAATCCTGATGACCTGGGCTTGTTCTTCAGAACTTACACACACAGACTGGTAAAATAGGAACATGAATTAAGCTATTGTATAAAAAATAGCATGAATGGTAAGTAAATCTCCTTCTATGACCAACTCTTCCACTGGAGAACACTGGCAAGTGGTTAATTGGCTGGGAAAATGTAAATTGGGAGAGAGAAATGGTCTAGATATTTTTGGAATGAGAGCGTTAGCTAAGGAAAAAACCTGTCCACACCTTGTTCACAGGTGGGTATTGGAAAAGATGATGCAAATAGTGTGGGTTAAACAGGTGCAACCTCATTCTCACACCTTCCCCTTAGTCACATTGCAGATGGAGGCGACCAAAAAATCCTAAGTTCACATCGAACAGGTATGAAGTTTCCTGATTGCATGTTTCTTCTTCCTATTCCCTCTCTACTTCTTTGCTTCTTAGTAGTGTGTGTGTGTGTGTGTGTGTGTGTGTGCCTGTGTGTGTGTCTGTGAGTGTCTGTGTGTATCTCTGTGTGCATATCTGTATATGTATAAGAGAGAGAGACAGAGAGGCATATATAGAGGGAAGGTGTGTGTGTGTGTGTGTGTGTGTGTGTGTGTGTGTTTGTAATATGTGTGAATACAGACAGGGCTATGTGTGACACAGCACACATATGGAGGTCAAAGGTCATCTTTAGGTGTTGGTCCTTGTCCTCCATCTGTTGGAGACAGGGTTTCACGGCCACTGTATTTACAGGCTAGTAGTCTGTGAGCTCCTGGGAACTTTCCAGTCTCAACCTCCCATCTTGCTATAGGAGTGCTGGGATCACAGATGTGCAAACCAATGATTCAACATTACATGGCTTTGAGGACTCGAACTTGGGTCTGCAAGCTTTCACAGAACCACTTTCCTGCTTACTTCTGATGGAAGATGGTGAGGGCACCTGCTATTGAAGTAGCCATCTTGCAAGCTATGAAGAAAAAGCCAAAAATATGAGCTGGAAATCAGCACCATCAGGGTGCTCCTTTAGAATTTTGTTATATAAGAAAAGCAATCCCTCCACACCTTATTCATTTCAATCACTAAGGTCAGCTGTCTGGTACTCACATCTCAAATACTCCTAATGGTGGGTATTCTGGAGCCTCTGGAGCCACTTTGAGGCATAGATAAAATCTCAAAGGCAAGAGAAGGTGTTTCTTAGAGTCCTGGACTCAGCAGTTTTGTAATCTCCATCAATTCTGCCACCCGAAGATGAAGACCGCATTATTCTCCTGCCCAGAGGAGCCTCATGATTAGAGATTAAAATTAGGCCATGGTTGAACAAAGATTTATTTCATGTTTGATTCCCTAATGGTTCAGTTAATCTGGATTGCTTTTTATTTTATCCTCAGCTGACCTCAGGAATGGCTGCTGCCATTTTTTCCCCCTTTTCTTGGGAGATGAGTTCTATAAGTGTATCTTCATTTATGTTGTGTGCTTTAGCATACTCATCCTGGCATTAACATCTATTCCTTTTAGTTCTTCACAGATCTGATCTCACAAACCTCCAATCTTTACCAGAGATTTTATCAAATGGCAACTGTAGGTCTTAAATCAAGTGTGGTCACTAAGAACTCTCCCTGGGTTAGCTAGAGAACAAAACTGATAACTGTGGCCTGAATTCAAACCCTCCTGCACACGTTAGAGCCGCTGGTCTCCCCAGGTGCATATGGTTGCTGCCAAGAGGGAAGTCCTGAGTCTGATCCCTGGGACCCACATGGCACGTGAGAGCTGAGTATCAGTTATTCTGCGACCTTCATACTTGTGAAGTTAAAATTCTAAAAACAAAGAAAGAAATTATAAGTTTTCTCTGGGCAGAGAGGTTTGGGTCAGTCACTCAGTTGAGTTGGTAAGAAAGACATTTTGACTTAACCTACCTTTCTGTCCCTGTGACTGGTGTCCTGTGAACGTTTCCTTCTTTAAAAGGGAGTTGGCCTGCATCCATACCTGATACAGTTATCTTTTCCTGTCCCTTTCCATGTCCCCTGCTTTGCCTTTACTCTCAATGTCTGTGGTTCGAAACAAATTAATTTCATCTACAGCCTGGGTGGTCTTATGACTCAGGCCTGACCAATCAGAACATCGCACTATCTGGGACACAGTGATTGGCTCAACAATAGCCACATGACTAGTCTGGGAAATGGAGCTGAAGATACTCAGAGATAGGACTTTCTGTGAGGCTGACTGGGACTAAATGTCCTCTTCTCACAGGGACCAGGGAGGACAGGGTGGGCTGATGTTGCCTGGGCTCCTTCTCCTGAACCAGGACAAGATGAGATGGTGAGCTCCTGAGAGCCTCCTGTGAACAGAGGCCACAAAAAATAGAGGAAGGGGAGGAGGAGGGAGGGAGACTTGAAGGAAAATTTAGCCAAGATCAAACTGTGTTGAGGCAACCCAGCAGGGAAACCACTTGTGGGAGGGGGTAAGAAGGCATGGAGTCAAGCACATAGACTCTGGAAGTCTGGTGACCACGAAAAGCCAACTCCTTTATTGACGGGATGGGCAGGCCTCTCATATCCCATCCCAAGGTCCTATTGGCTCAGGTGGCCAATTCTTCTGTGTTGCTGTTCTTTCACCAACATCTCTGGTCACGTGTCCATTAGTCAGCAGTCTCTGGACATAGCAGCAGGCCTTCGATTGGCTCAGGGAAGAAGCTCCTGCCATGCATTCTCATGTGGGCTGGTTTTGGTAGGATGGATGAGGCTTGGGTAGGCTGGTTTTGACAGGACAGCTGAGGCTTAGGAATGCTGGCTGACAGTGTCTCCTACAAGCTAGGACCAGAAGCTCCTCTCTTTTTTGGCTCATATTAATATTTATTGTCCACATTAGGCTTTCATAGTTACTAATGAGTGTCCAGATATTTACATGAAGCATTAACAATATTAATTAACTACTTTTTCTATTTAAATTGAACTTCCTAAGGAAAACATTTATCTTAAAGATATACAAAAACTAACAAATAACAAGTAAGCAAATTTTTTTGAAAAAAAACATAACACAAAAATCACAACTACTGAAACAGTGAAGTTCAGATTGAAGCATACGCTCTAACTCTGTATCCATTGTCCCTGTCAATCCGATTCAAGGACATGCATTGTTGCAGGTCTGCCCAACAGACAGTCTCAAATTAATTTGGAGAGGAGGAAGTGACCAAGATGATGATCAGCATGAGGTGGGCATCTAAGTCATGGCTGGTTGCAGAGGGAAGTGTGTTAGATGTTGTGGGTAACGGGCCTAAATGCAAACCAAAGCTGGTGAGGTGGAGGCTCAGTGGGCAGATGGGCCTTCTGTCCAGCCCTGGATCTGGAAAGCAGTGCCGGGGCAGCAGTGAGCTAAAGCAGAAAGGGACTGGCAGCTCAGAACCTGTAGCTGGGGTATGGACGCAAGGGCCTGTTGCCCTTGGTTGCAGGGCCGCAGCCATCTGAGCTTCTGTCCTGGCTCCCTCTTGCAGCAGGCACACCTGACCAGGGCCTGGATTCTCTTAGGCCACTTCCGTTTGCCCACGTGGGGCGGGCAGACAGCAGCAGCACAGTGCTCTCAGTGCCCGGGAAATTCTCTTTTTCATTAGCTTCCAGCCCCGGAGTGGCCTGGTTCCAGAGGCTGTGGGTACAACCTGGGGCTGTTCACTGGGCACCTCTGGCTCTGTGGATTGTTCTTCGCTGAAGGCCATGTTCACCAGCCCCATGGATTTCTCATTCGGAGGTGGCTCAGGGGAGGAGGATTCGTCAGCCAGGCTATCCAGTGACATAGGGTTGACTGTAGTGTCCCCAGTAGCAGAGTTGATGGTTTCGGTGGCCAATGCATCTCCTTCTGGGGCTGTGTTGTCTGAATAGTGCAGCTCCTCCGGGCAGGTGTGTGTGTGGAGCCCTGCTTTTCTTCTGCCTCTGGACAGCAGAGCCGGTTCGCTGAGGCTCCTCTTCATGGCCACAGGGACACTAATAGCGACTGCAGGGATGATCGTTTGCAGGCTGCTATCCCCAGAGCTCACTTTGAATTTTAGGATGTTAATCGTTGCTGTTAGGTTTGACTGTGGGTCTTTTAGCGATGATATAACCTGCTCACAGGTGTACCCGATGTTACACATGGTCTCCACAACCTTGGGGAGGATTTCCTTGGCAGGAGGTGTTACGTGTTCCTGAATATGGCCCAGCCAAGGTCGTTCCACAAGCCGAGATGAAGTTAACCTGAACCAAATGTAACCTGTGAGCAGTCTGGCCAAGGTGAGATAACAGGCCTTAGAAAGATGGTATGGAATGCGGCACGGGGTGGTGGTGATCAGATGGTACATAGCTTCGGGGGTCGATGCTACATAGGGCAATTGTCCGGTGACCAGGACGTAGAAGACAATCCCTAAGCTCCACATATCCCCTGCCATAGCGTCATATGGTGTTCCGGCCAAGATCTCAGGGGCCAAATAAGGCAAGGTGCCCCACAGCTCCTCCAGCATCTGGCCCTCTGCAAGCTGAGTGGCCAACCCGAAATCGCAAAGTTTGACTTTGCCGCCTTCCCCCAGAAGTATGTTCTCTAGCTTGATGTCGCGGTGCGCGATCCGTCTCTGGTGCAGGAAGTGCACAGCAGACGCCAACTGATTGATTATTGGCCTAGCCTCCTCCTCTGTTAGACAGCCCACCTCCCTGATCAACATCACCAAGTCTTTTCCTTTATGGTACTCCATGATGAGATAGGTGGTCTGCAGCGTGTTGATAGCGTGGAATAACTGGATGATGTTGCTGTGTTGCAGGGACTTATGGATCGCAACTTCAGACCTGATGTACTCCTCATCATTGTACTCTTTCTCAAGCACCTTAATAGCCACCTTGGTTTTCGTTGGAAGGTGCTGGGCAAGTACCACCTCCCCAAATGCACCACACCCCAGAGATGTTAAAAATTTATAATTCTTCTTAAGGATGTCCTCTTCCCGGTGGCTGACCATGATGGTTAACTCAAGTTCTCTGTATTTGGGCAATTTCAGGGACACACGATGCTAGGGAAGAAATGATATAGTTTTAGAATGGAGGTTTATAGGTATGAATTCTCTGTCTTGAAATCTGAGATAACCCAAACAAGCAAATGATACCTTTAAGACCAAGAAGTACAAGAATAATCCAGAAGGTAATTGACATGAAGACACTGAACACAAGTGTAGCAGCATCTGTTCTGATTCTGGGGAATAGCCCATACTCAGACACAGGGACGACTGGACGTTTATACTCTGTGGAAAGTAGCTTCTAGTAGAGAAAATCTCATCTAAGAGAAACAAAGTCCACAAAGAGAAACTGATATTTTCTTCTCCTGTGTGTTTAAGGAAGAGGAGGGCTGAGCGTTTATCAAAGAAACAGTATTAGTCACAGAGATGGAGTGGAGGAAGCGATAGAGCAGGAGAGTTTGACCAAAATGCAGGCTAGGCATGGATGGGAAATTTATAATGAAGTTGCTGTGGTTAGTTTACAGTAACACGTGTTCCAGCTGAAGAAAATGGGAAAAATGTAAAGAATAAATGAATTTTGAAAAAGGAAATTGGATAATAATGTAAAATAGATACAACATTCACAAATCAACCTAGGAAGGAAACTAATAGCATACATGTAAACATGAAATAGCAAAACTTAACCCTGTAACCAAAACCAATAACTGGTAAGGAACTCACTCTAGCAAAGTCCTGTAGATTGGAGATTCCTAGTCTGTCACAGAATATTCGGTGACACTTCTTCTGTAGCCCAGCAACAGCTACTCCGAGATACAAGACAGAAACCCAATGCAGGCAGGGCCTAAAACAGAGTAATTGTTAGCATACTTCATAATGTTTCCTTGTGATGTCACCCAAATGAGCGGACCAATCATGGTTTCCATAACTGACAGTGGATTTGACCAGGTTCTGTGACACAACCAGTGACCTGAGTATTTTTCTCATGACTGGCACCAAATCCCAGACAAGAATCAATTCCAGGGAGGAAGGGTTTGTGTGTGTGTGTCTGTGTGTGCATGCGCTCGCGTGTGTGTTTGTGCACATGCGTGTACGCACTTTAAAGAGACACTGAAGCCATGGTGGTGGCACATTTCCTTCCCAAATAGAGCTGTCGCTTAGGTGGTTGGTGACCCTGAATTAGAAATTCTCGATCACCAAGGGGCACAGGTCCTCTAGCTAGCCCCACATTCATGCGTTCCACAAATTCCTAAACAAGGAGTCAAGTCGTCATCACATCTGATGTTCAACAATCCCTCTCTGGTACTTTGAATTAAAAATGTCTGATACAAATGGGGTGTTTGAACACATGGACACATAAGAGAAATCGATGGTACTGTTTGGAACCGTTTTAGGTTGGAGTCATAGAAGCAGAACTCCATCCTTGGCACTGTCCTTGAGAAGAAACAGCATAGTCTTCATGCCCTCTTCTACTTCTTGCTGGAGTTGCAGTGTGTGACATCTCAGTTTTCTGCATTTGCCTTCAGGGTTCCAGCTGACCTCTGTGATTCTGACCCACCTCCATGGGCTCTTGTCTCTCCAAAACTAAGTCACATAGACATGCTCACCCTCTCTTAAGATGCCAGGTTTATGACTTCTATCACAACAGAATGCTAGCCAATAAACATGGGCTTAGCAGAGCTGGTTGCCCTCATCCCCACCCTACCTACCCATACTGCCCAGAAGTCAAGGCAGACTCATTGCTGTCACACAGTCACACATTGCCTGTGTCTGTTCCATCCACCTCCACCAGAGAAAGAATGGACCCTTCAAGTAGCCCGATTCCAGGCCCCATCCTCTGTAGTGTGGCACAGGTCTCATTCTAAATGAGCCTGCTTCCAATTGGTATAGGACCTCCCTTTCCCTCAGAAACCTGCAATTCCATGAAGACATGCTTTGTCTGACAGGAATGCAACTGCTTCAGACTCCCACTGCATGGCCATCATTGCTAGAGTCCTTGTGCATAGATGGAATCTCTCTAAGCATCACCGTCTCTCTGTAGCTCCCATCTTTCCTCACTCCCCAGTAAAGATGCAGACTCATATACCAAGGGAAGATACAAGAATCTGTGGAAAACTTTAAAGTTGAAATATAAAACTAGACAACACAATCTGAAAGAACAAATAGGTTGACAATGCCTTGTACTGTTACCGAGATAATTCACTGATGGATCATACAATCTAAAGAAATAACTGTAATGATCCACAGATATTCCATTAGCCCATAAAACTGAGGCAAGGGATACTTTCAAATCTTTTTATAAAACAAACTCTTTTCATAAAGCCCTTACTTTCTAGCCTAGTAAAGCACCTTGAAAAGAGATGAGTATCTGACAGGGGCAATGACTACGAACATTAAAGTATCCTTAAGGAAAGCACTTGCTCCTTTACTTCTTAGTAACACATTAAAATGATAATTCTTCATGATCAAGATATCTTCAGGAGAACACAAGAATCAATCTACATACAAAAACTGACAAAAGAGCAAGCATAGTCCAACATCAAGAAACGATAGTCACCCCTGAAAAGGAAAGAAATGCCACTGCCAGGGACAGGCATAGAATGAGAGAATGTTCTCTCTCATTATATACAATCTTATTCTACAAACATGAAAATATTTATTTTCATCATAGTCAGAAGAAAAGATGAATTTCTTGTTAATAGAAACACTGGTCACCTGACATTGGCAGGGAGGTGACACAAGGCTGGTGAATCTTCAACACAGTTCAGTAAATTCCTCACTGTGTGCCTACAAACCAGAAAGTTAAAAAAAACCAAAGCACAGTGAAGAATGACAAAGAAATGAGATTGGATAAAAAGGAAAATCTCAGTCAGTGAAAGAATAGAAATAACAGCCACAATTTAAAACAAGTTGAATATGGTCGAAAAGAATCAATCAATAGATGTCAAACATTGAAAGTCGAACAGAAAACAAGGGAAACTCACCTTTTTTTTCAGGATCACCCACTTTGGGATATCTAAGAATACGAGGAATAATTGAGTCCAAATCCTTATTCACCAACAAACTCCTCCTCTGGGATACAAGGACAAAACCCAGCCCCAGGCAGCTCCTTATATGGTCTGGTCTCTAGCTGAGGTCACAATGACTCCCTGTGATGTCACTTGCATTGGGCCAATCACGGCTAAACAAAAAGCTCAGTATTCTGCTGTAGTTGTTGCTTTCCCCGCTTACTTTCATTTAAATGAAATTTTTATTTTAAAGGTTTTTTTTTCCATTTTACATGCCAACCACAGTTCACCTTCCCTTCCCCACACATATTTTCCCTCAACCAACTCCCCAAACTCCTCATAAAAGGTAAGGCCTGCCATAGGGAGTCAACAAAGTCTGGCCTCTCAAGTTCAGGCAGGACCAAGTCCCTCCCCTCTATCAAGGCTGAGAATTGTATTCTCCCATAAGAAATGGCCTTCAAAAATACAGTTCATGCCTTGGGGATAAATCCTGGTCCCACACAGTGGCCCCACTGAGTGCCCAAGTCACAGAAAAGTCCCCCATTTTCAGAGGGCATCGTCTGGTCCTATGCAGATTTCCCATCTGTCAGTCCAGTGTCAATGAGTTCCCACTAGCTCAGGTCAGCTGTCTCTGTGGGTTTCCCATCACGATCTTGATTTCATTGCTCACATAATCCCTCCTCCCTCTCTTCATCTGGACTCCAGGAGCTGGGCCCAGTGCTTCATCCAGCAGATTCTCTTAACTCACTCATTTATGGACCAATGCACTTAGTGTTTGCTTATGTTCACTTTGTGGTTCCTCTTGCCCTCCCCCACAGTGTCTTTTCTTTCTTTTTTCCTTCCTCTCCCTATCTCATCTCTTCTCTCCCTCCTCTTTCCTTTACCCTTCTCTTCTCCCTTTTTGTCCTTGATGGAGTCTTACTCTGTAGTCCAGCTGGCCTCCAGTTCACTATGTAACCCTCTGGGTTCCAGCATCCTCCACAGTCCCCAAAGATTAGGATCACCCCCAGGAGCCTCTAGTCCTGACTCTAAGTGTCCTGTGCTTGGGTTCCCATGAGAATTAGTCCTTGTCACCTTGCCTGGGTTAGAATCACCTAGGACACTGGTGAGGGAGAGCACTGGTGTGTCTGTGAAGGCATTCAAGGAAGGGCCACCCTGAATATGGATAACACCATTCTGTGGGCTGAGAACCTAGATGGACTCTAAGAAGGACAAGGAGCTGGGACGCCTCTTCTCTGCTTCCTGCCTGCCTGAAGAATGTCATCTGATATGTGGTGCTGCTGTCATGATGTTATATAAAATACTCAACCCCAGACCTCTGAAACTCTGAACCAGAATGCGTCCTTTGGCCTTTCATATTGTCACAGTGGTGAGGAACTAACCAATACAGTTCCTACATCAATACGAATTAACCACATCAGTCATGTGATCTCGGCTCCCATCTTCAACATCTCACAGCCTAAAGACTGAACTCCCTTGTTCATAATGGACCTTGTCTTTCCTCATTGGTCAGGAACTCATGAATATGTCCTGTTTCCTACTGTAGGAGAGGCTCTTGGATCACACTCCTTCTTCCCAGTGTCTTTTTCACCTACTGCTGCTGAAGGCCCGCACAGCAAAGCTTACATGAGCAATGAGTGCTCTCAAGGATTTGGACCTAACTCTCTGTGAGGTACTTGTGTCTCCCTAGATAGAAGCTGGCTGATGTGGGCCAGATGAGCCAATGTTTAGGCCCCTGGAGGGCCAGATACTGTGGATAAATGGGACTCTCACACAACAGGGGCTCCCTTCCAGATCCCCATTTGCGCACAAACTACACCCAAACACTTGCTTCACAGAAAGATTCTTGATTAAGCAGGGAAGAAAAAAAGTGGCTGATTTCTGACTCTGGCGGGAAAGCAGCAGCAAATGACCTCACAGGTATAATTTTAAGGAGTAGGAGAAGGGGAGCTGTGTTAGAATGGGCTGGGATGCTGTGGGAAAGGAGATGAGTGACAAGGAAAATGGGAGGGAAAATGGGAGAGGGATAGGGGTTTTGTCGTAGAGAGACAAAAGTCTACCTCTGGATAAATGGGCGATGGAAGAGGCTCATAGACAAATACAGGTTACCAAGGTAAAATGGGAAGCCCTGTCTTACGAGGAGGTGTTTAACTTTAACAGGCATGTTTTAGGTGAGGCAAAGGGGACTTTTATAGCTGGACTTTGGTAGTCAGCCTGAGAAAGAAAGAGTGGTCAAATGAGGGAATAGACTTTTGTGGCCTTCTTTGCGAATGTAACCTAACAGTGTTTAGATGACAGAGGGAAGGGGGAGAAGGGCAAGGCCTGTCAGAGCCATGCTTGCCATGCGTGAGCAGGCCAGAGTCCCTTCAGTGGGCTCCCAGTGACGACCTGAGCCGGGGAGTTGTCTCTTCATGTCACACCTTCTTTCTATCCCCGTCCCTTCACAAAGGACTCACAATTTCAGCTTTACTTTTGCAGAGCTCAGCCTGTGGCGACTTGTAACTTCAAATATGGCAGCCGCGATTCCTCCACATTCTTCCATATTCTTCTTCCAGTGCTGCTCCTCCTGAAGGATGGGTGTCTCTGTCTTCGAATCTGGGTGGGCGCGGGGCTCTGCCAGCAGAGTGAGGTAAAGTGTTGCTGTGGAATTCCAAGGCTAGGTTGTTAGAAGGAGTGGAGCTTCTCCTGGCTTCTTGGGACTGTTTCCTGTGAGGGATTCATAGAGCATAAAGCCTCTTTGTGAGTTTTTTATTAATATATTTAAGACTGATAGCTGGGAGGTGGTGGCGTGCATACCATTAATCCCAGCTCAGGAGTCAGTCTGCAGATCTCGGTGAGTTGGAGGCCAATCTGGTCTATGAAGTGAGTTTCAGGATACCAGAGCTGTTACACAGAGAAACCCTGTCTTGAAAGAAAAAAACAAAAGATGGTTTAGAGGGCTGGCTAGATGGCTGGTGGGTTCAGACCTTACACCAAACTGGAGGGCCTGCATTTGATCCCTGGCAGCACGTGGTGGAAGGAGAGAACTGACTACCACAGGTTGTCCTCTGACTTCCACACTCTTGCTGCCCCCCACAGCCCCAAGTGAGTAAACAGTAATAAAAAGAAAAAAGGAGAGACTGCCTGGAGGGGCTTGGAGGGAAGATAAAGAGTTAGTGGACACACAGATGGATAGTACTATGGGTTAGATATGCCATATCCCCCATAGGCTCTTGTCGCCAGGTGGAGGGGCTATCTAGGGAGGTCGTGGTGACCTCAGGACATGGGGTCTCCCTGGCAGAAGCACACCCCATAGGAAGTGTGGTTGTGTTTGGTTCCCACATTTCTCCTGTTTCCCAGCTCTGTGTCTATGAGGAATTGAACAGAATCTTCACATGATCTTCCCACCGTCATGTTTTACATGCATGGCCTCTCTGAGACTATGAGCCAAGACAAGTCCCTCCTCCTGCAGGTCACATCTGGGCACAGAGACACAGATGTAACCAATCTGGATAGATGAAGGATGGATGCATAGATGAATGGATGGATGGATGGATGGGTGGATGGATAAATGGGTGGATGGATGGATGGATGGATGGACGGACGGACTGACAAGTGACTGGAAAAATTGACTTCATCTGTCCTGCCTTTGGTAGTCTCACAAGCTTAGCTGCCAACTGTTGGTATGCACTTGAAGGGCCTTACAGTTGGAGTGTCCTGTTATTCAGTGACAACATCTGAACCATGGTTTAAGATAACTATTCTCAGCCTTGTTCCAACCTTGATTACCTTCTGCGTTCCTGTCTGACTCCCCTTGTGGTTTAAATAGGAAAACCTCAAAGAAAACCAGGAAAAGTCAAACAAATAATTGAAGTAAACAAATAAAACTGTTCAAGAGCTGAAAATGGAAGCGACAGAGAAAACACAAACTGAGGGAATCCTGGAAATGAAAGATTAAGGAATGAGAACAGGAAGTAAGGCAAACTTCACCAACAGATTACAAGGGATGGAAGAAAGAACCTCAGGCACTGAAGAAACAATAGAGAAATAGATACATCAGTCAATGAAAATGTTAAATCTAAAAATTTCCTCACACAAAACATCCAGGAAATCTAAGACACTATGAAAAGGCCAAACCCAAGAATATTAGGAATGGCGAAAGGAGAAGAATATCAACTCAAAGGCACAGAAAATATTTTCAACAAAATAAGAGAAGAAAAAATTTTGAACCTAATGAAGATGAGCATTTTAAAAAAGGTAGAAGAAGCATACAAATCATCAAATAGATAGGATCAGGAAAGACAGTCCCCTCACAACATAATAATTAAAACATTAACATAAAGAACAAAGAAAGAATATTAAAAGCAGCAAAGGAAAAAGACCAAATAACATATAAAGCCAGACCTCTTAGAATTACACTTGACTTCTCAAAGAAAACTCTAAAAGCTAGAAGGGCCTGTATAGACTAGCTACAGATTCTAAGAGACCACAGATACTGGCCCAGACTAGTATACCCAGCAAAATATTCTATCACAATTGATGGAGAAACTGATATTCCACCACAAAGCCAAATTTAAGCAATATGTTATCTACAAATCCAACAGTACAGAAAGTACTAAAATGAATGTAATCTACACCTAGAAAGTTAACTACACACATGGAAACACAGAGAATAAATAATCTCACGCCAGCAACACAAAAGAAGAGAAACACACACCACAACCACTGCCACCACCATCAACAACAGCAACAGCATAAGAGGAACAACAATCATTGTTCATTGATTTCTCTCAATATCAATGACCTCAATTTTCCAACTGAAAAAAATGAGATTAAAAAATAGAAATGAAACAGGATCCATCCTTCTGCTGCATGTAAGAAACACACCTCCCTATCAAGGATAGACCTTACCTCAGAGTAAAGGGGTGGAAAAATATATTTCAAACAAATGTCTGTAATAAGCAAGATAGTATAACCATTTAATATCTAGCAAAATAGATTTCAAACCAAAATTAATCAGAAGATATGGGGAAGGACACTACATATTTATTAAAGAAAAAATCCACCAAGATGACATTTCCGTTTTTAACATCTAGAGCCCAGACACAAGGGCATCCACCTTTGTAAGAGGAAAAATCACTACAGCTTAAATCACATATTCACCCTCATGCACTAAAGTAGGAGACTTTGATAACCCAC